TTTGCGTTCTCGTGTGGATGGAAAACATTTTGAAAATGGAGCTTTTTGAAAACGATGCCGTCACGATTTCTCTGACCGAGGTCTCCTCAAACACAGATCCAAAATGACCGGTGATTGCTGCGTTTTTAAATTCCTCCGGCGAAGTCAAGTGTGGACGGGAAACATTATTTGATGCGCTTTAAGAGTGAAACCTCCGTTTTCAAATTTGAAATGGCGCACATTTCAAAAAGTAATATGACACGTCATTTTTTGTACCTATTGACAAGGATTTCCGAAATCTCGTCCAACGTTTCTGTTTATGAATTTTTCCCTACTTATTTTTTGTCAGTAAAATCTCTCAGAAAATTAAAGATATTAAATTAACAAATTACCTTCCGAATTGCGGGTATTTTTTGTTGAGATGTTGTTGTTAATTTCCTGTCGCAAACACATTTTCCTCTTCGGAAATGAAACGCGTAATTTCTTGCAATAAAGGACAACTTTTCTTAAGTATAAACACGGCAAAATCGCGTCTCAGGAACCAATGTAATTAATCACATGGGCTTGATACGAAAACCTCTTTTCTTCAGTACCGATTAAAAGATTAAGAATTAAATTTCGCCGTATATGAATTCGGTAATCTCTTGTCTTTGTCTTCTTTCAAGAAAAATGCTTTTAAATCGTTACAGGATGCTGGTACATGTTATCTACTTTTTGTTTGCTTTTGGTCAGCAAAATTAAATGAAATCTCAGTTCTACTCTTGTAGAGAAAATGAAAGGGGATTGGCTTTTACCATGCTATTAATTTACTGTGGAAAGAATTTTGCTATCCTGGAAAAAGGAAAAACACTTCGAATCTTGTGGCTCATTGTAGTTTTCTAATCAATTATATGTACACTTGCAAAGAAGGCAACTTAATTAGTGCAAACTGTAAGCAACATAAAACGAATGCCGCCGGTTGGTTGTTTTTGGGCAATAAGCCTGGTTGTTGTGTTGTAATAATAGTTTCTGTTACCACCAGCTGCCTGTCAAGGAAGGAATACAAAAGCTGGTTGCCGGAGTTGCGTCACCGAGCTACATAAAGTTGTTTACAAGTGTTAGTGCTATAAAAGTAGATGGTCAGCATTTGGGCGGATTCTGTTGCTGTATTTACGACCTTGCAGTGAGTTCCTCCAACCATTTTTACATCATTCAGTTTAAGAAGAGTTCTCCAAAACCACTACACAGCAGGTAAATACAAATATACAAAAAGCAAATATGGAAAAAATCGTACATTAAGCAGCATTTCTTTGGGTACTTTTTGAGATCACAAAATCTACCAACGAAAAAGTTATTCTCTGAGATGTTGCCAATTTTTACGACAAAATCATGTACTGTAAGACCATATTACTTCAACTTCGTTCCTTTGTATTATGATTTTGTATTATTTTTTCCCGAAGTAATTGGATCAGCAATATGTTTTAAAAGTACCATACATTAGAAGCCTAACATCTTTCACTAATTATATCGCGGTGTTATTTTTGTTATTAACAATTTCACAAATCTTAAAACATTGACAAATTAATCGCGCGTGAAAAATTTACACGCACGAAGCACACATCGAAATGCTAGTTTGCCATGTGTAGCGCAAATTTCAGATCGTTATCGCATATCCGTACTAATTTTTCGAGCTTCCAAAATTAAAAGTAAATTTGCGCACACATGCAAAGATATAGTTTTCTTTTGACAAGTTTTCATGTGACATTTGCTTTTATTTGCTCGAATGACAACGAAATCTGCGAAGTTTTCTTTGAAATGTCTCTTTGCTATAAAAAAAAATCTTTGCTATAAAAAAATTGTACACCAGTCTATGAAGAAGATAACTTTTCAAGATCACACGAGGAAAGCAACGAACATTTAAGTGACAAATCTATCTTCTCGTCCAGGGCTATACGTGAAAAATTTTCAGAGAATTGAGAGATCTGTTGCTCGATAACTTGCTCGAAATTTCTCAGGGTTATGCGAAATTGTGAAAAAAAAAAGTGCTTCGAAGTTGCTCACAAACTTCTCCAGAAATTTTCCCCTTTCTGTCTGTTAGTATCAAGTTAATTACAAGAAAAGAAATACGCTGGAAAACTTCGGAAGCTTTCTAAGCTTTTTCTGATGTAATCATTTTGCAACTGGATTGGTTATTTGTTTTTTTCTCGAACTTGAGAAAAATCGTATCGTCTTTTGAAACTGTAAAATTTGTGGTAACTTTCAATTCACATGTAAAGATGTCGCTGAAGTCCCATTTGCTGACACGTTTGAAACATTTTCATGCCAAATGAGCCAAACGAAAGTCGACATTAAGTCGAAAGGTTTTCGTATCCTTCTCGGAAGTCTTCGACCAGGGTTCGGAAATTATCCTAACCTGATAAAAAAAAAGTGTTTGTATGGCCGTATGACCAATGTCAACAGTAAAAGATGTTTCAATGTTGCAATTTGTCAGAATAGATAGAAGTTGCAAAACGTCGCCCGAAACATCCTTATGTCACGTTTGCAAAGTAGAACAGCTTCTTGTCAGTTTCAAAGTGGGACAGCCGCTAATTTATTCCAAAGTGAGAAGTGTTATTGCAAAGTGTCAAGGGCGTTATCTTTACAAAGTACGTGAAGCATCGTATGTCTGATAAGTTCCGGCATTTTAAACCATGCTTTTTCAAACTCATTAATAATTGATCCGTCACATTTAAACCGAGGGAAATTAAGCTTACAACCGCGACGGTGTTTGAATATCTGATTTGAATCAGCAAAAGGTTTACGATTAAATGTATTCGTTTTCTTTTTAGTTTTAGTTTCGATTGAGAAGATCAAACACTCGAGACATTTCTTCAAAACATCATGAACTTCGTCAAAAATACTTCGCTGCGAGCCGTATTTTCAACTCTTTTCTCGGGCCCCATCCACACTACGCCGGAGAAATTTGAAAACAACGCTTTCACTCTGAAAACGCATCAAATGTTTTCCGTCCACACTACGCCGGAGGAATTTGAAAACAACGTTTTCACTCAGAAAATGCATCAAATGTCTTCTGTCCCCACTACGCTGGAGAAATTTGAAAACGCAACATTAATGTACCGGTGTTTGCGGAAAACTCGGCTAGAGAAATCACATAATTATCGCATGTCATCGTTTTCGAGAAGCCCCGTTTTCAAAATATAAGTGTTTCCCGGACATGCACACAAACACTCAAAGCCGGCGTTTTCAAATTCCTCCGGTTTGAAGAGCATTTTCCAAATTAAAAACTCCGCTTTCGTGGCGGATTAGTGTGGACGGTAGGCCTAACCGTAAAAATAAAGCTGCGTTTTCAATTTCTCGGGCGTAGTGTAGAAGGGGCCTCGGTGTTTGCAAATGCGATAAAACAAATGAAGGTCTCTTGTGGCTAACAGATTACGTTTTGTTAAGAGGGAGGCCTCCGTTTGATCTTGTCACTCTGTCACCTGTATCTTGTCAACATATCAGCTAGAATCATGTCACTTTTATTCCGCCCGCTGTAGAAGATATAAAAAAACAAATGAAGGCTTTTTTCCGGCAGATGCAAAATTTATTTCAGTTACCAGCTCATGTTGCACATCGATGAAGACTTACTTTTTCTTAGTGAAGAAACAGTTTAAGAAACATACGGTAAGTTTACTTGTTTTAAATCTCGTAAAGTGATCAAGATTTAATCATACCTTCAAATACTACCCCATTGGTAGGCAAAAAGCTAATGATATAGAAATTCAACAACGATTAAATATTCTCGGTGATGGCCCGCTAAACCAAATTTAGGCCAAATCTAAAATTGAAAGAGATCTAAATCAGACAAAAGGAAAATGATATCGATATTTTAGAAAGAGAATAGCTCCAAATATTAACAAAAAAGGTCTCTACAGCTGCCACTCTGATTCATGAAAGACGAAACTACACAACAAAAAATGAAAGAAATTGGCTTTTCTAATTTTCATTCATATTTCTGCAAATAACTTATGCAGATGACTTTTAATTATCAACTTAATTTCCTTCCAGGCCGGCAAGAAATTTAATTGCGAGGTTTTGTATTTCCGTGTTGATTTTCTCCACGAAATTTCTCCCTGCATGCCAGCTACCACAAGCTAAGTACTTATCATACCTATTGCAATTTCTTTTATTATTATTATTTCGTTAATTTTTGGTTGTAAATTTCCTTCGATTTCTGTCGATTTAATTCAAGAGAACTCTGTGCATTATGTGTAAATAATCAGGGAATAGTGTCTAATCGCATTTTGAAATCGATTTCTCACCGGAAGACAAACGTGCTTGGTTTTGCAGTCAAGATATCTCTCCAAGTAAGCTTATATACTCAAATTTCGAGAATATTTTTTCGATACACCTACACGATAAAAGGCTTAAAACTTAAGGCTATAGAGGGTCGATATCATTGGAAATCGATATGGAAATCAATTGCAAAAGTATTCCAATGTCGCGAATTATTTCGCAATTGGTTGTTTCTAAAATTAAGAATCTTGATCTAAACAAGAAAAATTATGTAGAACCATTTTGGACCGGCTAAAGTGTTGCTGAAAGTGTTAAGGTAAAAATAACGCAACCTTTTTATAAATCCGTTATTCCCAACTTTGCGCGCTAGGATACGACCAAGGTAGGAAACTTTTCCACTGACATAGCTATAACAAGTACAACTGACTGAATTACTAACAAGTTGTACCTGATATAATGATATTTTTTCGTAGTAAAGCCGACATGAAGGCACCATGGCTACTTGCTGCCGCGTTGCTGTTACGGCACCTGGTAACTAGTGCCCAGGGCTCTAGGAACTCCACTTCTCATTGCAGCGTTGATGCTCGTTGTCGCTGTTTGTTAAAACCAAGTGGATTTTTGGATACTAGATGTCAGTTAAATGGTTCTTCGCAACCAGTATCGCCTCTGGTTCTTTTTAAATCCTTGTAAGGAAACAATTTTATCCTTGTTTGGTTAAACAGACACGTAGACAAATAGAATTAGAAGTGTAGCTGGCATCAGCAAACTGTGTGGAAATTTCACCATGCACCCTTTTCAAGGCGGGGCAATCTAAGAGACGCTTGTGGTGAAGGACGGAGTTGAAAATTTAATTATGACTTAATCCCAAAGAGTTTCCCATTTGAAACATGCAACATTTGCTGTGGACGCTAAATATATATATTTTTTAAATTCTTCAGTTGTTACAACCCTTAGTTGGCACCCTGGCTACTCTAATGTCAACTGTTAAAAATAATTAAACTTGGTTATGGTCGCACTGAAAGCCTCATGTTTTAATGATAGGGTGTGTGATTTTTTCCGCTATTTTTCAGAGATCTATCTAGAAACAGCCTTCAACACATACCCACGGAGTTTTTGCTGAATCAGAGTCAGTTGGTTAACCTGTAAGTGATTCTTGATAAAATTATGTCTCTTTCCCCTGCACGAGAGTTGTAGGAAATGGCCTATTTTACAACCTAGCTTAGAGTTTATACGAAAGTATCCCTTGCTCTCTTCTAGTAATGTACAGTCAAATCTGTATTAAGCGAACCCCATATTAAACCGACAGCCTCTATTAAGCGGACAGCAGTGCAAGTCCCATTTTCCTTTTCCCACATTCACTGTAAAAAATACCTGTATTCAACGGACATCTCTATCAAGCGGACGCGGACAGCTTATAAACTTGACTTTTATGGTCGTTTCTATTGTTAGAAACCTGTATCAAACGGACACTGCAAGAAGAATGCATGATTTTTTTGTCCAAGTTTTAGTAGATCGACCAACAGAACATTTACAGAACATTTGTTTTTGTTTGTTTTTTTGAACCTTCACATGATTCGATCAATATAGATACCCTTTTTGTACACTTAAATCGCTTTACCTCAGATACTTGTCATTGTTTATGAAAACACGGTTATTTCAGAGTTATCAACCGTTCACGAGAATGCTATTTGACCCTTTCAAGGTCTTTTAATACTGACGAATAGTAATGACCCTTTTAAGACCAATTCTGAGGGAACCTGTTTTCAAGGAACACCCTGTGTTAAGCGGACACTAGCATGGGTCACGAGGGTGTTCGACTAGTACAGGTTTGACTGTAATAGCTAGAGAGGATGAGGGGTGTAAAAGTTAGTCCCACATTTATCTCTCACATGACGTAGCCTTATTAGGGAGTTCGAGCAAATCACTACGGCTGCCGTGACTGAAAAGGTCTGGGGAGAGTACGTCTCGGTGGTTTGCCAAATTTTAAGTTTAGCAAGCAAAGCGAAATGCAAAGATGAAACAAACATCGGCTAAGGAGTTTAAAAATCTCTTTTATTTAGTTTCTTACAGG